TTAGTTTAAAGTTGCTGAAACACAAAATGACATCATGTCTAACTGTTCTGATAACGCAAACTGTTTAGGTTCAGGTGAAATGGTTTTCCACAAGGGACCCCTCCCAGTTAATGCCCAGTTCTTCCATTACAACATGATCAAAAACATCACCTAAACATTCAGCCGAGGAGCTGTAGATGATAAAATGTTATTAAACAGGTACAACAAATAACAAATATTCGGACTTGCTTAACAACTGTGCTGTCTCATGTCATTTCACACATCAACACAGCAGTCAATTTGTGAAGTGCAAAAGTAGCCTTACTTAATGTAGAACAATATAATGGGGCGGCTGTGGCTCAGGAGGTAGAGCGGGTTGGCCGTTAATCGGAAGGTCGGCGGTTCAATCGTGTGTCGAAGTGTCCTTGGGGCAAGATACTGAACCCCAAATTTCCCCTGGCGGCTATTCCGCCAGTGTATGAATGTGTGTGACTGGTGAATGCAGATGTAGTGTAAAAGCGCTTTGAGTGGTCGAAAAGACTAGAAAGGCGCTATACGGAGCATTTACATTTACAATATTTTTAATATATTTTTTTCACAAGAATATTTGTTTATTTAGTCTGACCCCGTTAACATGTAGTCAGAGCAAAAACAGTGATGGTGTGCAGGAGCCAGACATACCTATGAGCACACTGAGCTGGTGAGGGTCCAGCTGGTCCTTTGAGGCCCTCTGAGTGAGGCAACGATCCCAGTTAGGCCAGTACTTCAACCTAGTTTAGTTCTTCATTTGCGTATCATTATAAACACTGTAATTCTATTCTTATAGCAAATCTTTATTATTCTTTGTTTACTGTTTGTTTCTTGAGCTAAGGCAGGAAATTCCAACTCTGGGTTTAGCATTAAGTTGGTTAAAGTTGGCTAAAGTTAGGTTCAACTTTTAAAAGCTGAATACAGGATCTACGACCACACAAATGGACATAAAGTTGAGCAGTATTTTATAAAACATCACCTGCTATTATATTGTGTGGTCAGGCATTGCAGTACATAAAAAAATTATTTCAAGTGCATCTTAACTTAACTTTAGAATCAATTTATACAAAAATGACAAATTGACCAATAACTTACTGTAAACACGGACATGTGAGTATTAAGGTAGACTATAAAAATGTGAACCTTTAGCACACAGACAGCAAAATATTAGTTGCATTTATTACTCTGATAAAAACCTCACTGGACATTTTAACAGTTAATTGAGA